GACAACCTGCCTCCCCCCACCACACCAGACAGAGCCCCCCATACCCCATAACAGACCCCAAAACAAGACAAACCCCCTCCCTACACCACACCAGGCAGACCCCACATAGCCCATTACAGCCCCCAAAACAAGACAACCCCCACCACACCAGACAGACCCCACCCCACACCAGACAGACCACCCCACACCAGACAGAAACCCCCACACCAGACAGACTCCCTCCCCCCCACACCAGACAGACTCCCCCACACCAGACAGACTCCCTCCCCGCACACCAGACAGACCCCACCCCACACCAGACAGAGCCCCCCCACACCAGACAGACTCCCTCCCCCCACACCAGACAGACTCCCCCACACCAGACAGACTTCCTCCCCTACACACCAGGCAGTCCGCAACACACCAGGGAGTCCCCCACACACCAGACAGACTTCCCCCAACACAAGCCAGATCCCTCCCACACCAGACACACAAACCCATGTCAGACAGACCCTCAAACAACAGAGAGGCCACCTCCACACCAGACAGATGCCACCCCCCCACCCTCACACCAGGCAGACCCCCCAAACCAGACAGATACCCCCAACACAAGCCAGAACCCCCCTCCCCCCATCCCCATATACAAGCCAGACCTCCCCTCCCACATCAGATAGATAGCCCCCAACAACAGACAGTCTCCGACACCGGACTGACACCCCAACACCAGACTGACCCCCCAACACCTGACAGACCACCCCAACACGAGATGACCCCAACTACAGATAGACCCCCCAAACAACGGACAGAACCCCCCCGCCACCCCCAAACAACAGACAGACCTACCCAACACCAGACAGAAATCCCCACACCAGACAGACCCCCTACAGACACACACCAGACAGATCGCCTACACAAGCCAGACCCCCCCATAACAGACAGACCCCCCCCACACCAGACAAACCCCACATCAGACAGAGCCCCCACGACCAGACAAACCACCCCCCAATACCAGACAGACCCTCCCCAACACCAAACAGACCCACTCAACACCAACAGACTGCCCGAATAACAGACAGACTCCTCCAACACAAGACTGATCACCCCAACACCAGACTCCCCCCAACACCAGACTCCCCCAATACCAGACAGACTGCCCCAACACCAGACTGACCCCCCCCCACCCAACACCTGACAGACCACCCCAACACAAGACACCCCCAACTATGGACAGACCCCCCCACACCACACAGGGATAACTCAGGGGTAGGCAAAAGATGGCCCGCAGGCCATATCCAGCCCACCAAATGATTCAATCTGGCCTGTCATTGTGTTGAGCAATAGAAAAAATTATAGTTTGATCAGTCCCAATAAGTCGCACAAATTTCGCATTTGAATCTGACTGGGGTGGGGGGTCTGTGTGGTGGGGGTGTGGGGGGTCCTGTTTTGGGGGGTGTGGGGGTTTGGGGTGTGGGGTGTGGGGGGTCTGTGTGGTGGGGTGTGGGGGGTGTGGGGGGGTCTGTGTGGTGGGTGTGGGGGTGTGGGGGGCCTGTGTGGTGGGGTGTGGGGGGTGTGGGGGGTCTGTGTGGTGGGGGGTGGGGGGGGTTGTGTGGGGGGTGTGGGGGGGCCTGTGTGGTGGGTGTGGGGGTGTGGGGGTCTGTGTGGGGGGTGGGGGGGTCTGTGTGGTGGGGGTGGGGGGGTCTGTGTGGTGGGGGGTGTTGGGGGGGGTCCTGTTTTGGGGGGTGTGGGGTGTGGGGGGGTCTGTTGTGGTGGGGTGTGGGGGGTGTGGGGTCTGTGTGGTGGGGGTGGGGGGGTCTGTGGGTGGGGGGTGTGGGGGGGTCCTGTTTTTGGGGGTGTGGGGGTGGGGGTGTGGGTGGGGGGGTCTGTGTGGTGGGGGTGTGGGGTGTCTGTTGTGGTGGGGGGTGTGGGGGGTCTGTTTTGGGGGTTGTGGGGGTTTGGGGTGTGGGTGTGTGGGGGTCTGTGTGGTGGTGTGGGGGGTCTGTGTGGTGGGGGTGTGGGGGGTCTGTGTGGTGGGGGTGTGGGTGGGGTCCTGTTTTGGGGGTGTGGGGTTTGGGGGTGTGGGGGTGTGGGGGGGGTCTGTGTGGTGGGGGTGTGGGGTGTGGGGGTTGGGGGTCTGTGTGGTGGGGGTTGGGGGTCTGTGTGGTGGGGTTTGGGGGGGTCTGTGTGGTGGGGGGTGTGTCTGTGTGGTTGGGGGTGTGGGGGGTCCTGTTTTGGGGGTGTGGGGGTTTGGGGGGTGTGGGGTGTGGGGGGTCTGTGTGGTGGGGGGTGTGGGGTGGGGGGAATCTGTGTGGTGGGGATGTGGGGGGGGTCTGTGTGGTGGGGTTGGGGGGTCTGTGTGGTGGGGTGTGGGGGGGTCTGTGTGGTGGGGGTGTGTCTGTGTTGGTGGGGGTGTGGGGGGGGTCCTGTTTTGGGGGTGTGGGTGGGGGGTGTGGGGTGTGGGGGGGTCTGTGTGGTGGGGGTGTGGGGGGGTCCTGTTTTGGGTTGTGGGGGTTTGGGGGTGTGGGGGTGTGGGGGGTCTGTGTGGGGTGTGGGTGGGGGGGGGGTCTGTGTGGT